AGAGCTAAGGGCCCTGGCCGGTGTGGCTCAGCGGTCAGAGTGTCGGCAGCGCACCAAAGGGTCATTGGTTTGATTCCTGGTCAAGGGCATGTACCTGGGTTGCAGGTTCGATCTTCTCTCGTGGATGTTTCTCCCTCTTGCTCTTTCTCTCTCTGTCTGTCTCTTTGTCCCCTCCTGCTTCCATCGCTCTAAAAAAAAGCAATGAAAAAAAATATTCTCTGATGGATGGAAGGAAGGAAGGAAGGAAGGAAGGAAGGAAGGAAGGAAGGAAGGAAGGAAGGAAGGAAGGAAGGAAGAAAATTGAGGCTCAGGGCCATCCAAACATCTCACTGTGGTGCCTTTGAAAGGGCAGTTTGCCCTTCCTAGACATCTGTGCCCCTCCCCCTCTGACCAGTGGGGATCAGGGGCACTCTCTACTCTGGCTGCACTTTGGAATCACCCAGGGAGCTTTTAAAAACAACAACACTGATTTCAGGGTCCCAACTCAATCCGAATCTCTCGATGGGACCTGGGAAGAGGCATTTGTGATGCTTCTCTGAGACACAGCAGCTGCCAGTCCCTGAAAGTTCAAACACACACTAATGCCTCCAGGGTTCCTGTGAAAATGCAGCTCCGGGTCTGATAGGCCTCGCTGCTCCAGGAGCACGCACATGGTGCTGCTTGTCTGAGGGCCGCTCGTAGAGCAGGGAGGCCGTGGAACATCAGGAAGGGCCAGCCTGCCAGTTGGGTGTGCTACCAATACGCTGACTGCATGGAAGAAACAGAATGTTCAAAACCAAGGGCTGTCTTCCTGGGAATCTGGGAAGACAGGGAGCCACAGGTCACTTCTGGGGACCCCTCACTCAAGACAGCTTTTCATTCTTTTCTCTCATGGCGCCTCTCCCATGAGGGGTGTGTCCACCTCAAGCCTGTGCATGCATTCTCCCAAGTGTTAACTCACACCCAGGGCTTAGTAATCACCTATAGGCTGAGACTTTTCTGTTCCCGGGGTGACATCTTGTGGGGTTTAGTGACAGGACCCAACCATGCAGAACGGAGAACAGGCAGTGATTAATATCTGCACACCGACCCCTCATCTATATGTGTAACTGAACATCCAGTTCTCATTGCTAGGACACCAGCATCCTCCACTACACTCAGCCAATGGAGTTGTGTTGTCATGAGCTGGTCCTTTTAGGGGCATTCACCCATCCTAAACCCGCGTGCATCAGCTCCCTTAGATGAGCGAGAACAGCTGCCCGAGAGTCCTTGTGGTAGGAGGCATACAGCTGCACACGTCCCCTGGCCCAGCCACCTGCCACCTCCAGTCCTAAGCATGATGTGTCCTTGCCACATCTCCTCCTGTTTGTGCTTTGGGCAGTAGGTCATTGGCAGCTGCAGGAGTCCTCACCAGGACTTGGCTCCTTGTCCTTGGAAGGGAGGTGTAAGGTGGTCAGCTGACCTGCCATTAATTGTTGAGTTTCCTCTAGGGACCAAACACCTGCCCTTTTCATTTTACTCAAAGCAAATACTTCTCCAGAAATGCTCCTCCTCTTTTTGCATATGAAGCTCTTTTCCTAAAAGCACCATTTAGCTACAGAAAGTTCGCCTGTTGAGAGGAAGAAAAGACCACTCGCTAGAAGAAAGTACAGAACAAATGTTTTCCTGTAATTGTCGCCAGGAGGCAGAGTCCTTCCTGGCTTTCTAGTCCCCTCACCTTCCCGTGAAACCGAGCAGGGTGTTTCCAGCCATAGCATGGCCTTTTCGGATTCCTGTCGAGCCTAAACTGTCGGCATCTTCTCCTGGAAATGGAGGCCTTGCCACTTTTGGATAGAAGTGTTTTGGTTTAAGGAATACACATCCGAAGATGAAGGTAAATCTGCCCAGGTCCCCGCAGAATCAGGTGGTGAGCAACAGAACATAAATTGTTGGCGCCCTGGCCAGTTTGGCTCAGTGGTTAGAGCGTCAGCCCCTGGACCGAAGGGTCACAGATTCGATTCCAGCCAAGGGCACGTACCTCAGTTGCAGGCTCCATCCCCGGTACCCCAGGGGTGCATGCAGGAGGCAACCAATTAATGTGTCTCTCC